GCGAAGACCGCGCCGATGAGCGGCTCGCACTTGGGCGCGGACGCGCTCGATCTGTTTCGGAGAGAACCGACCGCCACGGTGAGGGAAGCCGATTGATCGGGTGAAGTTTGCGGTCGCAGTGAGGAGTTGGTATGAAAACTCATGGTGTTGTCTGAGACTGCTTCCTGTGTCCGCCTCGGTTTGTGCAGGTTTGCTCTCTCTGACACTATGGGAGGCCTGGGGTGCTCTCAACGCAGAGTCATAGTCCTCCTTCAGTAATTGCTCTAGCGAGGTATCGAACATGATACTTTCTATGATGCTGTCATGCGCGGGTTCAGCCATATCGACGAAGTCCAGGCTCTCCAGACCGGTGAGGACGATGGTAACAGGGCGGGGGGCAACCTGTGTTCCGTTCCGATAGGAAAGGTAACCCTTCTGTTTCAACGGCATGAGTTGAGAAACTAGATGCGGCCATGCCGCCTGAACTGAAGTGCGAAGCTCCAGGAATAACGTAAATGGCTGTGCTGGGTCTGTATCAAACAAGCCTATTGGCCCAGACTTGGCGGTAGATGCTGGAGAAACTTCGGCAGAGTTTCTGGCATCTAGCTTCTTTATAAGAGGATTGATATATAGTTTATCAAGTGTACCGGAAACCTGTCGATTTGACACGAGACCGTCCACAAGAAGCTCACCCCCCTGTGCCTTGAAGCCCACCCTAACCCCCGAACACCCAGCATCTATAGCATACTGGATAGCATCATGTGCCTGTGGATTGTAGAGAATGCAGGTGCTTGGTTCCCGACTGAATTCCGTTGGCCATTGAACAAAGCCTTTTGGCTCTTCAATTCCACTACGGAATACGATGTATGTGAACCCGTACGGCAGTGCCGCCAGAAACTGAATTACAACTCTGTCAAAGAAGGTTAGCTTTCCACGGTGATTGGTCTCAACGAAGGCAGCAATGCGTACAGGAACATCAGAAATAAGCAAACGAGTGGAAAGACGCGTTCCGTCCATCGTTTTCTTAATATAGCCGAATACCTAGCCACATAGGAGGACAAGCCAGGAATACATTCAGTGGGATGGGACCGAAGCGGATGGTCGTCGAGTAATTCCCAAGAATATGAATCATATTCCTTATCTCGTAGGGATGGGGTGTTATCGAGCTGGTCAGACTCCTTCATCACTGCCATTATCTGGGGACGTCTCTTTCCGAGCCGTCGATAAGCATGCAGCGCGGATTTTCAGAATGATCGACGGAAGGAATCGACGGCGCCCCAATGTGGGGACGTTCCTATGACAGAGTCTGGCTGCAGGAGTTAAGGCCAGGAACGAGGTTCAACAGACGGATTCTAAACGTGAAGGGGGATTACTGATAAAAAGAAAGCAGAAACAAGGGCATGCATGGTCGCGTGCCACATTGCGTGGATAAATAGGGGAGGCATGCAAGGGAGGGTGGTGATAGTTCGAGAGCACGCAATTGCCGGTTGGGATGGTTCACAGTTTAGCGAAAACGCCATTAGAGACGCAAATTGTCGGTCGGGATGATCACTTCGTATAAAGCTGACCAACTCGAGAACTTGTCTATGGGACAACGTGAAGCAGAATTTCTCGATCCCACACGAATATCCGCATTATGGGCATAGATATTCAGTATACTGACGCTATTGGACAATTCAGCGTGTAAATACTCCATACTTCCTTCGCCCACTTTCGGGCCGACTCAGCTCGAAGGTGTGGAGATGAAGCAATTAAGGACGCGTGCCGACTCCAAACTTATCCCAGAGAAGCAATGTCACGGGCGATCCCCTGATTACCGGCAGCCCTATCATAGCAGGTCTTCCTCAGAGCCAGGATGCAGTTATTCTACTTGAAACATATGACATATGTTGCTCTGAAGACGTTTAGCCTATTACATGCAGTATCAAATTGATTTCCAGTGTCTAGGACACCGAACTTTATAGGATTTCGAAGTTTATAGACTAGCGAATTGTTTTCCTGCGGAAACCTTGGGACTATCGGAACAGCGGTTGTGATATTGATATTTGAGAATAAACAATTTTCTAAGGAACATTCGAGCGTGAATTTCACCGCCGGAGAATGCTTAATATTTGTCTGATACTTCTTTCTAATGTGGAGATCTACCAACATCCCTTTTCCACAGCCTTGTATACCCATCAATTAACCCTTCATTCATCGTCTTCTTCATCATCATTGTCATCATTATTATCATCCACATTACCGTGATAGACAGTGACAACCATACAATACTTCCACCAGGTGTTGACTGCCATAACATCATTGCCTTTGGGACAACAGGTGTCGTCGCACGCTACCCTGATACTCTGAAGGTCGCCAAGATCCCCCATGGTGGTGATCCAGATGCGCAGGATCGTAGCTCTATAGAGTTGATGATTTACGAACATTTCAATCAGTTGCAAGATAGACCTTCCTCTATCTTATAATACTTTGGTTCTTCAGATGGAAACATTATTCTAGAGTTCGCCGAGAATGGGGATGTCCGGCGGTTTCTACGCAAAGGAAACGTCCCGCCTGAGTATATACTTCTTCAGTGGGCTTACCAGGCAGCGCAGTCACTGGCATTTTGCCACAGTCACGGTATATTACACGGGGATATAAATTGCGGAAACTTTTGTCTTGATCGTCATCTGAATATAAAGCTCAGCGATTTTGCCGGGTCATCGATTAACGGTTTATCAGCAAAGGTTTACTACAGTACTAGCCACCAGCTTCCGGATAACTATTCTTCAACCTCCAATGGGGCTATAATTTCAGAGAAGACAGAGATATTTGCATTTGGCTCAGCGTTGTATGAAATGGTAACTGGTAATGAACCTTATAGCGACAAGGAAGAGTCTGATATTGAGGATCTATATCGACATAATATTTTTCCCGATGTTACCGGTCTTGGTCCACTAGGGCCCGTGATTAGTAGATGCTGGACCTCAGATTTCCACTGCATGAGTGAGATTGTTGAATATATTGAAGCGAAAGGTGAGTTACCGCTGTACTATAATATATGTTCTGTATGAATCGCTGATAATAAATACAGTACAAAGCTGTCGTCGTCATAATATGCTTGCACTTTCTTTTGCATTTGTCTTGTGTGTATCTGTTCTCCAGAGTGTTGTCCGATAAAGGTATGTCTTTCTCCTTGCTAATTATATAGAAGGCAAAGAAGTATAGAATCATACTAGAAAATGCGTCTTTCTCAAACCATTCCGGGCTAGCCATCCATAGTATTCTTCATATTTGGCCATCTTCAATAATAGAGATGGGTGGAGTAGCATATATCCCACACTCTCAGATAGGGTCGGCTCAGGGTCTAGGCAATAAGGGCAGCGGGTTCACTAGTTGTGGTGATACGAAGCATCACCGTATGCATGTAGCGAATACAAAGGCGTTTGTTTCCAATGCAAGAGATATAATCCCGCTTAGGATGAACACACGACTTATAAAGGCGATACTTATTATCTTATCAACATATGATCGCTTTATGTCTTGAACGACACCCTTTGAAGGGCCAGCAAGGAGTTCCTACTGGCAATGAAAGCTAGTGTGTAGGGATTATAGTAACTCTTGGCAGCAGGTTCTTGGCACCTTGCTCCTATCCCATATGATTGCGCGATCTGCTTTTGAACCCTGGTGATGGCGAGCTCGGGGTAGACGTTCGAAAGCACGGTGCCCTCACGAGGCGATGATTTCAGCAAAGATTGGCAGTAGACCAATAAACCGCGTGCTGGATTGTCGATTAACTGTCCTGAGCCTAGCCGCGATATCACCGCCGATCAACTACAATAAGGCTCTAGCGGGGACAGATCACTCGAATCCAGACTTTTGCCAAGGCGACAACTAGGAGGTCTAGACTTGACAAGTATTCCAACCGATGGACCCCCGAACGTTTCATTCCACTCGCTAGGTCTGTAGGTGGGATGCCGAAATAAATCTCGATCGATTGACGACGGGAATGCTGCTCTAGGGTTTCTGATTTAAAGAGCTGTTCTCTTCGCCTCCAGATGGTCGGAAATGGGTATTCCAGTGCCGGACCAGGGACAAGTCGATATAGCATAATCGAACGAGGACATAACGTCGAACGAAGCAAAGCGACTCAATTTATCGTGGTAGGTTCACGGCAGTTGAAGGCAAACCCGGTGTATTTACTCTGTATACCTACGATAACCACGATCAATAAAGAGATCATAGAGCGAACGACAAATCGGCAAGAAATACCCACAGCTCACATTATCACGCAGCAAACAGACCACAGCAGAGGATTAATCTTCCACCTCAATTCCTAGTTGTTTGCACATGGCGTCCAACTCTTCTTGTGATTGGCATTAGCAGCAGATGTCTCAGCCCATATGCCACAACCGAATGGAGCTGACGCAAGCTCCTCCATGTCGAGTCACACAGAAGGATATCCTTGATTGGAATTTGGCACTGTACGACCAGCCTGTTAAGCGTAAGCCTAAATGGAGGTCAACATAACCCCCCCCCCCCTCGGAGCTTACCCAACCACTCAAGCGGATCACAACGGGACCAAAGATAGTAACGCTGTGATACAACCCAGCCACTTGAAAGCTTGCGTCGAGGAGGTCAATCAGGTAATTGGACACAGGCCGTCGGGGCCAGGTTACTCCAGGGTAGAAAGTTGACATGGCTGCCTACACACTACCGGGCGGACGGACAAAGAATGGGAAATGGAGGGAATGGCAGCGAAGCGGGGGAAAAAACCAACAAAGAGGGCGAGTGAAGTTCAGGGTCCAGGGAAAAAAAAACAAAAAAAAAAAAGGGAACCGGTTTGAAGTGAAGTGGTCTGGCGAGTGCATAAATACTCGTCGTCTTCCGCTCATGCTGGTGACACAGGAGAATCATCCGACCTTATTTTAATTTCCTCATTATCCTCTGCATCTCCTGTCGCTACTTCATCCTGTTGACCACCGTGACGACCTGTTCTGCTCCGAATACCATAATCAAGCATACCCAACCTTCACGTAAACATGCAGATCTCCTGGTTCGCCGTCATGGCGGTTCTGTTCACTGCCGTCGCAGCCAAATCGACCGCCACTAGTACTACGACTAGCGCTGCGACGTCGGCCAAGGAGAGCTCTTCTTCGGCTTCTACCAAACCGACCAAGAATGCGGCTGCCGGAAACGCCCTGAACAATCCTTTTGCATTCTTTCGAGAGTTGTAAGAAGATATGGCCGGTACGTCCAAGGTTAAGGTGACTTCACTGTACCAAAGCGGCTGATAATCCTGCAGACGAGGCGTTGATGATATGGAATGTTACTTTGAGAAATAAAGGGGATTAATGGTTGCGCATGAGAGAAGGAATAGCCCACGGCTTCTGGAACATGGATCCAGGTTGAGATCTGGCATACCTTGATTGCTTCCTAGGGTCTATTGTTCCATACAGGCCGAGGCTGGTCAGATACCGGGAATTATCTTTTCCTTGATGAAACTCAAGTGGTGTATTGTACCTAGGATGGAGTATCTTAATTCAGCTTGAGCTTGGCTTTTTGTCCATACACACTATGAGAGTGATTATAGTTAGGCTCAGAAGTAATGGTTGTAGTATCCTCCCTTTATTGGTGATCCTTCTTCTCTCTTGGTGGTACCCCTATTCGCATCTAGAGACTGCACCCTAATATATACAATAACCTTAAACGACTAAGGAATGGTGCTAACACGAATAGAATACTGATCCTCAGGGGAGAAAGTGTATCTATAACAAGCCTAACCAACTACTCACCACACATAGATGTTTCTTTAGCTCATGTGTCCTACCATATATTTCCCTATGCTACACTCTGATCTCTACATTGCTGTATCCATCTATGAAAGTGATATAAATATTCAGGCATCGGCACTGAGACCAAGTTCACACAAGATTCCCAAGTCCCGACTAAACAATACAACAACACAAGAAATGACAAAAGAGACACAAAGAGAATCACCCATTCCAAAGAACTCAACGATCATACAGCCATTTCCCACCTACACATACCAAGTCAACCACTCTTTGATATACCACATCTAAGCACACAATAGAGCAGAAGAAACAATTAAAAAACAAAGAACACACATAAACCAGCAACATATATCACTCACCTGAAGGCCAAACCCTAAAATAAAGATAACACAAAACCATACCTCTTCTCTCCCCAGGAAAGATAAAAGCAATCTCCAATCCCTCGACTCTACAAAGCAACGAGACCAACCACAACCCCATATCCAAAGCTACCACCCTACCTCCTGGATTCTTACTAAAATATAGAACCGACATGCATTTCTGGACCATGGTCATACTCGGAGCTCTGTTATTCGCAACCGCGCTAGCAGTTCCCAAGGATATACGAGGGTACATGTCTATGTGCACTGAGGGCGGATGTGATCCGGCGTTCTTTGTTTGCAAGGTATATTACTTTGGTTTGTTAGAGAGTCTGATACTGGAGTTTGGGCCTGCTGACCGGTGTTTAGATACCGGAGGGCGAGAACCAGGGTAGATGTTGTTATCTTCGCAATGGGCTACGTGGACAATGTTGATCATTTGTATTTGGATCTTGTATCTGCTGTTAAGAGGCGTTTTTTAAGTCAACATACAGTATCGATGGATGTATTATTGGCCTGTTGGACGGGGTTTGCATATGATTTATCTAGATGGGAAAATAGACCTGAGAATGATGCTCATCAGTGTTACTGTAGTAGACTATATTCGGTTGCTATGTTAGTGAATCAGAGGAAAGAGATCAAGGTACATACATCTACGAATAACTACAACACAGTTCTTACATTGAGAACCCAATTAAGAAGATCATTCATCAATCATCATTACCGTCTATAGCACAAAGCCAACAGACGACTCAATTAAAATATTAGGCAAACCGAAACGAGTCCACGTCGGACTTCCACGCCAGACCCAAGCTAAAAAGGTATCCTTAAAACCAAAAACCACGCAGAATAGAGGACTATCACTTTTCTATCCGTACTGTACCCAGGAACCGAAGTCGAACTATGCGGAAAGTCCGCTTCTGGCCCGGATCCGAGCACCGAAGATGTACAGCAGGAGGGGAATAGGGATGAGCAGTGCGCCGAGACAGCCAAGAAGGGTGCATGTCCACTCGACTCCGAGTCCGTCGAACTATATTCAGGGATTGTTAGTGAACTGTTTGATGATAATCTGGGTAGAGTATGTAGGACTAACCATTTGGGTTGCAAACAGCGGGAATGCGCCTCCGGCTGCTGATCGCAGGAATGTATGTGCTGCGATGGCCGATGCTGACCTGACGGGGTTGTCAATCTTTATGTCCATCTAGATAATACAATGGTAGGGGCAGTGTACTTACTTGTCACCACTGGCTTCTACGAGATAAGCCAACGACGGCAGAAACATCGTGAGCAATCCAAAGCCCGTCAAGAGTCCGGATGCCGTCGGGACAATCCAGTGAATGCTGCCCTTATACCCAGACCATCCCAACCAGAACAGCCCACCAGTAAACAGAACGGCGCCGGGAATCGCAACAGGAAGACGCCATTCGGGCATCATCTCGCCGTTGTTCTGCTGCAGCTTTCGCAGCACCCAAGGCTGGGTGGCAGCCGTGGCAGCAGCGCCGAAGAGCGTTCCGATAATAACACCAATGTAGGGCAGCCCACCCACTCCTGGGTTCATTCCACGGGTGATCTGGAAGACGTACGGGTAGGCAGTGAGGAAGAGGTAGAGGAGACCGTAGACAAAGGCGCCGAAGATGCACATGCATAGGACAATCGGTTCCTTGATCAGCATCTTCAGGGGCAAGCTCAAGTTGTCTCGGACGATGGAATGGAAGTCGAGGTGGATTTCCTCTTGCTCGGAGTGGAGGGACCAGTCACCCGTTTGCCGGCGCAGACGTTCAGCTTTCCGGGTCAGGATGACGGGCTGGAATGTTTCCTCGAGGAGCAGAGTCATGACGACGAGGGCGGCGGCTCCTAGGATTCCCGGGATGTACGCTGTCCAGCGCCAGCCTAGAGAATGATTCATGATGATGAAGCCCCCGGTGAACGGGCCAACCAGAGGCCCGATGAACACCATCAGGCAGAACATCACGATGGGGACACCACGTTGCTGGGGCGAGAACATGTCGGCGAATGCTGGACCGGCTAGCGTAAGGGGACCGGACCCAAAGAATCCAGTGAAGAATCGCAGAATAAACAACGATTGGACATCTTTGGAGACGGCGGTGGCGAATGAGAAGATCGTGAAACCGAACATGGACAAAACGAGAGGGACATATCGTCCTTTGAGCTCTGAAAAGGGACCGAAGACTAGAGGACCAAAGGCAAACCCAAAGACATACAGGGAGACACCCAGGGTGGCTACTTCCTTGCTGACACCATAAAGATGCACCACGACTGGGATGGCTGGGGCGAATATGCTACTGGCAAAGGCCACGATCATCGTGCTGAGACCCAAGATGGCACAGATATACACCCTAGATTTGATAGCTGCCAGTTAGCCTCTCTGGCCCGAGTTAGGGCTTCTATGAAGAGCACACATACTTCTTTTTGTTCGGCCAGTTGAGTGGATTGAGGGGATCATCAGGGCCGTCGAAGTCCACATGATGTTGGACGGTCTTGGTGACCCCTGAACTAGCAGAGCTGATGACTTTGTGCTCTTGCATTGTGCATCAGTAGAGAGTTTCCAGATGCCGTATACTATGGTTGGAAGGGATGCGTAATATCCCAGCTGGTAGGACCTATGATGGGTATATGAACAAAAGGACAACGAAAGTAGTGTGGAGGGACAATGATGAAAGGCTTCTGGAGGACAAGTTATTGTATTAGGGTTATCAATGAAAAATCATAGCACAGAACAACAAAAGGCAGGGCCAAGGCATAGATAAGTACCGCCCCCTCTAGCTATTCATTGTCTAGCGAAATGACCCATCACCCTTTTTTATTCACTAATGACAGTATACCCACTCAATCATGCGGAAACCTGATCCTTCCACCTCGCACCACCAGGGAAACCAAGCCAGGAGTACCAAGATATGCCAAGCCAAGACAGACGCTGAAGAAAAAGATAGGGCCGGTGGTCGACCCATTTCCGTCCGAGTGGATACATCGGTTTTCGCCGCGCCTAGTGTTGAACGGTGAACCACGTAGCGACGAGGCGGATCTCAGGGTCGATATGCTGGAGCTTTCCCGAGTTAGGCTACAATCCATAAGGCTACCAGATATCTAAGCATTTCTCTCGGCGGTGGTTCGGACTGCCGGGCGCTTGACACTTGACCAGGGCTGTCTGGCAATCCGGACGCCCAACTGAACGGTTCCTATTCTACACGACATCGGAGAAGGCGATTGGGGGGGGGGGGGGGGGGACGTCAGTCACTCGGGTAGGATCAGAAAGAGGATTGGATAGAAATGCGGTGATATTCTAATCAAGCGGATATCATGATCCGGCTTCGACTCGCGTCAGCAGTTCAGTGAGTCAGGCGTGCTATTCATGCTTGGTTTAGGCATACAAATGTCCTAGTCCGGTAGGGCCACGAATCGAACTACACGAATCGAACGAAATGTAGGGCATTATTTTAACCTCATGTAGGCCCGCAGTCAGTTTAAAATTATGATCAGAATTGTTCCAGAACGGAGCTTCAAGCGGACCCTGAGTAAGTGTCCTTCACATGAATGTATCCTTTATGAACACTTTTTGACTAACATTAGGTAAGAAAATTATGAACCGTCACGGGTTCAGAACTTAAGATTGGCCTTGAGAAAAAGAAAAACAAAAAGTAGAAGAAAAGACCCACCGCCCGATGGAATGATTAACGGCTCGGTGTGATTAGAATGAACCTCAAAGTAGGGATGTAGCAATCGGCCCGATCAACGGCAACCCGAGTTCGGAACCATGCCTCTAGTCCACCTCTGTTGTATGCATCGATGCAGGGGTTACGAGCCTTGATCATAGTCTCCAATTGTAGATCAAATACCGGTAGACCAGATAATACAGGAAACCACAGAGAATTACTGAACAGTAGAATAGAAGTTAGGGCTCAGAGAAGGAAATTTGGTATCAAACGGGATGCTTCCGACACCGCTGACGTCAGGTCCACAATCACATGCTGGACCTGTGACTTTCACATGCAATATCAGATGTTCTTTTTCTTTTATTTATTTTTACTTACATTATTTCCATTATTTACATTGTCCATTCTCAAGTCTTTGTTTCTGTTGATTCACAATAAAGTCATCCGTGATGAGTTGGCAGACCACGTTGCTTTGGGGCTCTCTTCGATAGGGTCCAATCTGAGAGCAACCGAGCGTTGAAGCAATTCAATCTGAGCCTCGAAAGGTATGTTCCATGCCCCTTCTGCAGGAGCCAGGACAAAGCGGTGCATTTTCTGTAGACGTCTGGGCATAAGAGGATATGCTATACTCCGTACATCGCTCTTATCTTCGCCTTTGCGTGACGGAAAGTTTCAACCACTGAATGACCTCGCACGAATCATGAGCAACGTTGGCAATACTTGATGCCATCAGCCTGGACCCAAGATTAGATGTTAGGTAAAAGGGGTCCTGACTGGAACTGGTGTCTCCGATAATAGAGAGGAGCCCGGAGCCATCCATTCTTGGCTTGGGTATCAATCGACTGGATTCTCCACAGCAAAGGGGGCAGGGGGGATTGCGTCTTCAAGGCTTCCTGTGGTCAATGTAGGGATGATTCATCAATTCCAAAATTTCTGAAAGTTTGACATCTATCGGGTCTGAATTAAAATCTAGATCCGGTCTTTCTTGAAAGGAGTTTTTGGTACTAGTCATTAGGGATGGCTTGATCCTGATCTACCGTCTGTTCTGTAGAGATAGATAGAAATCATTACTACAGGCTCTCCTTTCCTCGGTCTGCCTCCACGGGCTCTAATAAAATTGGTACGATGGATACAACAGCTCCGGCATAGCCCATCTGGGAGACCGTCTCTGGGATTGAACAGTCACATCAACTCGTCTTAAGTCTACTTCCCTGGCACCATTGGTTTGGAGTCTCCAGGCAGCCATATATCAGCGGATCAAGTACCTCGAGACTCATTCCCGGCCAGACTGGATTTGATTTAAGTACTACATTACTATGTTCTGTACCCAACGCCGTGAAAGTGATCTCAATACTGTGCGCCTGAATTAGTAGAGAGAAACACAGAAAGCCTTGCTGGCCCCTGTATCGGTGCTCCAGGCCTGCCAGTCAATGGTGGGTATGGATAGCCTTTCAATTAATCACCAGATGCCTCCAGCGCGATAATGGGTTGGTAGTCGGGCACGCCTTGATAGAGGCACGCTCGTTTGTGCTGACCAAAGGGTACTTGCTTCTGATCAAGGCCGCTCCGTACATACATGGAGATATGGAATCTTGAAGGAGACTGGTTGGAAATGATCCGTAAACAAACGTAACCCATATCCAAGTTATCATAGGGTATTGAATAGACGTCGTGCCGCAGCTACCTCACCTATCACCATTGCACGACTGTACGTGGGGGAGCGTATATGCCTTGACCAATCTGGAGTGTTCTACAAGACACGACAAGCATCATAGAATATCCAGCAACACAAATGCGTACAGGGCTACTATCCCTCACTAATAATCGTCATGGTGTCAATACGCACTTTTCAGAGAAGCCCGCCTCCCCCTCTGGTCGAAACATCTTCCAGGCACGCGCTTAAATTCTGCTCCTCCAGCAGAAGCACGTTAGGATCGTCGCATTTCCTCGCCGTGTCAAAATCGATCAACACGGCCTCGAATTACAGATGAGGAAATTAAATCGATTCGTATCTCCATGTCGAACCCCCAAGCCATGTAGCCGAGACAACACCTCCCTGCAGGACTGAACATCCTCAGCCTCAGCATGCCGTGCATTGGGTATATATTCCATCAAGAACCCAATGACCCGACCGTGTTCAGTCAAGTGACCCAGAAATCGTGGCCCAATATCATGGCCAGATATCCATTGATACGCGGTAGTCTCGTTCTCGATGTATTGGATCTCCCAGGGGAAACGGGCGAATTTGGCGACGACGACATCATTGTCAAATGATGAACACTTGACTTCGTAAATTCCCGTCCGGAGTTTCCGGCCGATCGAAAGCTCCATGTAATCGACGTACGTCCCATGCCACGTATTTCGAACGCTGGGGAATTGAGTCCGCCTCGCGTATGCGAACTGCGGTCGACCGTCGTTGGCGTCCCTGGCGACTAAACCGTCGTTCCAGTCTCCCTGAGGAAGTTCGGGCAAGATGGAGATGAGTGAAGGGCCGAAGCACATATCTTCGACGCTGTAGAGGCCAGGTTCAACGGTGATGTATTTGACGGCCCGACCGTCAACTAACAGGCGGAAAAAGCTTTGGTTGTTCTCGTCGACCTCGGCCTGGAGCAAGTCGATTTTCGGTTGATTGCCCATTTTGAGACGAAAGATTCGAGTCGAAGATGGAGTGCAAGCTGATGACGAAGGTGAAATCCAATTTTGCACCCTTTGTGCGATTTATGTGTTGGTGGTGCGTCAGAACTGAACAGAGTCAGTGAATGGCTGCATCGTGCTCGGATCTTCATGAGATATGCGCCAAGTCTGAAATCCTGCATCAGAGCCTACATTCATAGATGCCTATTGGGAGCAAGCAGCGCCCTCTTGTTTGGAGCCAAACCATGGCGTCGCACTTGGTTTTGGAGGCAATGACATCTAGGGTCTTACACAAGCATTAACCACGCTATATGATTGTTTTATATATATATATAGTCTTCGTATTGCTTATGACATTGTCAATGCGTAGTCGATACGCGATCTATCCTGATAATCAACGTGTATATTCATGAACATCATTCAAAACACTCTCCAGCCACTCTCACGGCGTCCGGGCTCCCTCTCCTATCCCCATCAACCCTCCAGCCAAACCATTCATCCTGCGATCCAAGAGATCCTCCTCACTAGGAAGGCTGCCAATGCTTCTATCCCTACGTTTGGGCGGAGGGGTCTGCAGGGCGTCTGAGATATAGTCATGGGCCGGAGGCATAGTGAGTTTCGTGGGCGCATCGCGTCGTCTTCTGCTGAGCCCCTTGGGCCGGGAACGGCGACCTCGGGATGCACTTGGACCCTGGCTGCCACTTGCAGTCTGAGACTCATTGTCATTCGACGCAGAGCCTTGGAGACGAACATGACTCGTCCCGTTGGACGGCTTGCCGCGCATTTGACTGGTACTATCATCCGGGTTCAATGGGGTCATCCTGCCGAGGCTCATCTCCAAGGGTCTATCCTCGTCACCTGACGATTCGCCCGTGAGGCTGCGTTTATGGTGACGTGGGCTGCCGCTATTGGCGTCCGCCTTCGGCACCTGGTAGTATGGTGCGCTGTCGTGCAGTGACTGGAGCAAACTGGACGATGACTTCCGTCTCTCGGCGGCCTCGAACAAATCCTGGATCCAGGCTGCGCACTTGTTGATATGCTTCCAGCTATCGGGAAAGAAGCCTGCCATTTGCAGGAATCCGTGAGAGATCCCGGGGAGTAATGACACCTCCACGTGGTCCTTTTCATTGAATGCTCGGTGAGACTTCTCAAGCCCCAGCTCCTGTCTTTCCCGGAATTGGTGTAGCTTGGCCTGGCGCAGTCTCCCAGCGAAGATTACCGTGTCGTCAACTAGTGGGTCACGCTCGCCTGTGACGATGTATGTTTTGGGGAACCGTGCGAGAAGGGCCTCGGGGGTGAGCACGGGAGAGAGCAGGAAGTCCGTGCTGAAGTCAGGGCGATTGTGAGGCCCGATATAGAGGATTATCATTGCCCTCATCATCTCGGGGGTCAGGATCCGATCATGGACATACGAGATCATTGAGGAAACGGCCAGACGGGTACGGATTTGTTTCGGGTGGTGGCTCTGCGCAATGGCAGCGGTCTGAGCGGCCAGGTTGTCCGCCTTGAGTTTTTCTTCCAGTTTCTTGGAAGCACCCTGAGCTACATCCTCAGCTTCTTCCAGGTCCAGGTCAGAAGACGAGTCGCGGAGAAGGTCTTCTGTGGAAGGGCCTGGCGATGTGAATGGCGTCAAACGCTGGTAGTCCATGTTTTTCTGTCGGAGGACGCTCTCGTTCGTCCGCCGCGCGCTCTTATCTTGTATAAGTGACATTTGCTCCTCCGTCATCCAGCTTTCGACTCTCATATTCAACGCCGGATATGCTAAAACAAGCCCATCTGGACGAGGGAGCATGTGGTCACCTTGCCAACGGGGAGCATCTGAGCTGCCGGATTGGAGGGCCATCAGGGTAGTGCCCACTGCCAGATTTCCACCAGCACTATCTCCTGCAAGCACAATACGTGGCTGCACGTTCCCGCTTAATCCCAAGCAACGCCCGCGCGTAGTGACGATGGTATGATAGACATCATAACATTCATTGAGCGCATACGGGTAGGGATACTCTGGTGCCTTTTTGTAATCAAGACTAAGGATCGGCACCTTTGTTTTCCCAGCCCAGGCAAGCAGTCGATCCTCTGAAGTGCGGGGGCTCATGGCGACATATCCGCCCCCGGGGATATCCAGGATAATACAGGTCTGGTCGCGTAACGCACTCAGAGGACCATCAAAGTAAAGCCATGCATTGGTTGGCTCTGTATAGCTGGACTGCGGAGGACGAGGAATCCGTATCGCACGAGGCGGATATTTTGTAAGTCGGGGCCGAAGCAGACTGGCGAGTGCCCACAGGTACGGCGTGGTGCCTTTGTTCCATGAGACTCGCAGGTGCTCTACGGTTAGGGTTGCTCGAACCCGACGAACCTTTTCATCTGCCTGCTCCGCAGCGAAAAGGTAGTAAACTGTAAACGCCAAAGACGCGATATCTCGTAGCCACTTCGGCTTGACTTTCATTGCGGTCCAGAAGCCAGCGTCGAGGGCCGTGGCGATCCATGTTGCCCGGAAGAAAGAGCGTGAATACAAATTGGCTAGTGGTTCCGGACACTCTAAGCCAACAATCTTTGCAAAGTTGCGGCAGAGGTACAGCCACAGGAAAACGCCCACGGTAGTTTGCCAAACACTTAGCTTTGCCGATAGGCGAGCTGAGACGTTGCGAAAGATAGGAGGGCCATGTTTGTTTCCTCTGCACGAAACTACTTAGCTACGGTTCTGACTACCTGTTAGAGCACCATACCTGAGGAGATAGGTAGACCAGAAAAGGAAGACGGCAAGGACCTGAATCTTTCGGAATTTGGTCGATGGTCTTCCTAGCACATGGTCTGGGGTTTCCATCAGCGGCTGCTGAGCTCATTGGTGCCATTATAGAGCTTACCTATCATTGCCACGGGCTCACTGGATAGCGTAAGGGCTTATCTTTCCGTGTATGGCCTCTTCCTCGGCAAGATCCAAGTTGGCGGAATGTTGCAATATAGAGATACGAGTCACGGGCACGGAGGGATAGTGGCAATGGTTGACAAACTGAGGTCTATCCTATATGAATAAATAGCATGTACAAAAACCGGAGCGAATGCGAGTGTATCTGCAGTCAATTTCCAACTCAATTGTATGCCATGGCATGCGACCAGACAAAGAAATTTCAAAACGCCCGTATGGGAGACACGAAGAAAGAACTGAAGGAGGGAGTCTAGTCAAAGACGCCACAGTCTGGCCAACTGGAAAAGTAAACAAGCAAGAGTGAAGAAAGGTGAAAGATTCCACTCGATTTTGGGACTCCCTGGCGTGAAGAAGCCATGGATATAAGCTGGCGGATGACGGGGTCAAGCATGTGAAAGTCCCCACTACTCCCCACAGTGCTGATTGGAGAAGAGCATGGGGGGGGGGGGCTGAGGAATATGGAGTAGTAGTTGGTCCAGTGATCCGGGGCAGAGTCGCCAGAAACATTGATCGACCAGAAGACGACCATTATTAGGGTTCTTCGTTGGTGCCTCTGGAAGGGGGATCCTGTCTTGTCACGTTGCCGCCCTGTCACATGTTAGCCCCGTGACGCCATCACCGACTCATCAATCATAGTCAAGTGACTGGGCTTCAGCCCTATCGTATATTAATCGCTTACACAGGCTTATCTCCGGTTCAAGTTGCATAAGCTGGTCCATTGATTATCATATACCGAGCAGTGTAAACTAAAGGCCAGAATTAACTATAGCTTACGACAATAATCCCTTCCGTGCGCGTCTTGCCAGTCACACAACCAAACCTCAAAGATCATACTGAGGAAACCCGCGATACAAATACCCCCAGAGTCGCTGACGGTTGTCGCGCCCAGGGAAAATTCCCGATCCTCTGGGGGCACGCGCTCCCCTATCTCAGCGAACGTATTGACATAAACCAAGCCACCGAGGAGTCCCTCCCAGAAAATGATCGCAAAGATGATGTACACGCTAGGAATGAAGTTGAACAAAGAATGAAGAGTCAAAATAGCCAGATTCACAACCTGTAAGCATGATGGAAAATACAGATCATGGATGCGGAAGAAGGGAGTCGATGAACGTGAGATGAACACGCCGACCTGGTAAATCGCATTATACGCAGGGTAGAATGCACGGAAATGGGCGAACGGAGTCTCGCTCAGCGGAAAGAGTAGTGTGGGGGCCACTCCTTGGTTGATGGTATACTCTGCGACGTAGACTAACAGTAATGGAAGCATGCTAGATGTAAAACTTGTGAGCCAAGTCTCAGTCATCTTGTTCCGGGGTGTGCTTACAAAGGGAAGAAAAGCCCTCTTGCGCGCTGCAGATTTGCTTTGATATGTTCCCATCGGAGACTTCCACTCCCAGTCTGAGTTGCTTTTGGGTCCTCAGCGGAGTGTATGGAAGAAGCGAGAAGGCCATCAGCCTCACTGTTGGCTTCATCACGCTCGTAACTAAATGCCCGTTCTTCCGCAAGCCTATTATGGGTCCCAACAGCGCGATAGCCAGCTTGTACGGCCGACAGAGGATGGTGCATAAGGGATCTCGGCAGGATGGTAAAGAAGCTTACCACCATGACTGCTGGTAAGCAAGCAGATGCTAGAAGGGTTGTCTTCACACTGAGGCCGAAGGACGTAGTCGCGAGTGCATAAGCACCAGCACCGACCAGCCCCGCAGCTCCAGTTCCGCTTCCCCAAGCTGCCAGACTAAATGGACCGTAGAAGTGCGTCAACCCGAGAAAGCTTAACTCACCACCTCCGCTAGATAAACTGGCTAGGATAATCCCGGCAATCTTGGTAGAGATCGTGCCACCATCCGTGTAGCCAGGGCTCAACGCAACAAGAAGCATTCCGATGGCGGAGAGGAGCACGAATATCACCACCCGTACCGAATATGGTACTACATGGATAAAATACGGCGCAATGAGCTTAGTCCCAAACGAAGGGATGACATCTGCGAGAAGAACGACGCCTTTGGGCACACCAGGTCCGACTAAATCAAGAGCAGCTGATAGGATGATGACATAAAGAACATTGTTTATCAAGCCTAGTTTCTCAAATGAGTAAACACAGCAGGTTAGTAACTATATGTTCTGCTTCTTGCTCTACTTCAGTGCCAATGGCTCACCAAACAGCCAGAACGCAATACAGACCCGGGGGTCAGCGCCACTGAATAAAGCACTTAGTCGCTCTCGGAATCTAGCCCAGGAGGAAGAAGGGGCTCCAGGGAGAGGTAACATTGGTGTTTCCTCTGATGTAGAGGTTCTAGGCATAGTAGAAAAAGGCGCGAGGGGGAATTGGATTGATGATTTGTCAATGCTCTACTAAGCGGAGTGAAAGATCATACAGGCCATCAACTTCGATATGGACATAGGATCGGCATCACTGCTGAATTGCGCACCGTAGTCTGCTCTATAGGATGTCAAATGGGAAGAGTGTCGAGGTAACGGGAAGCGGTCTGCCGCCAACTGATAAGGATGGCAAGTGAGCGCGTGACCGGTAGCCTTGATGCCTTACTGCCTGGATTCTCTGCCTTAGGATACTTTTACAGATATGCCTCGATCAAGAGTAATTCGAACACTTCGAAATCTCCCACAGTCTATATTTAGGATGCACCGAACTAGCTGCCTTCTATCGTTACTCGAGATGAACAGAGGAAAACACAGGAAGAGCACATGGTATATGAACAGCTAACATTCATCAGTCAGTGAATGTGACGTATACTGAAATGTCGAACATTTTTGGCACGCAAGAAGACTCCGTCATTTATGCCTTGGTGATGACGGCATCCAGAGCCTGCTCCAAGATCTTCAAGGCTGTCTTGATCTGATCCTCAGTGATGGTCAGAGGAGGGACAAAGCGGAGGCAGCCATCACCAGCAGTGATGATCAACAAACCGCGTTCCCGCGCGGCAGTGATCAAGTCGGATGCCTTAGATGTGAATTCCTGGGAGAGCTGGGCTCCCAAAATCAAACCGCGACCACGGATCTCCGAGATAACACCAGGATACTTCTTCTGGAGATCCTTAAGCCCCGAGATGAGTGCCGCCGATTTAGTCTCGACAGAGGTTTGCAGCTCCGAAGTTGCGAGGCGCTCAACAATGTGGTGTGCCACGCGGCATACCAATGGGTTTCCACCGAAGGTGGTTCCGTGGTCACCAGCCTTGATATGCTCCGCAACAGTCTTTCCTGAGACAATGGTCGCGCCGATAGGGACACCGTTGCCCAGCGCCTTAGCCGAGGTCAGGATATCCGGGTGTGCAGCTTCGCCCGACGCGGGGGCAAGGGAAGGGTGGGCATGAGCCCAGAAAGTACCGGTACGAGAAAGACCACATTGGATCTCGTCGAAAATCAAAACGGCCCCGACCTCGTCGCAGCGTTTGCGGAGAGCTGCGAGGAACTCGGGAGTAGCAACGTTAACACCACCCTCGCCCTGGATCGGCTCCACAATGACACCACAGGTCTTGTCCGTGATAAGAGTCTGAAGTTGTTCTACATCATTGTAGTTACCGTACTTGAAGCCCGGGAGCATGGGGGAGAAAGGTGTCTGGTACTTTGGGTTGGGGGTAGCGGAGAGAGCGCCCATCGTGCGGCCGTGGAACGAGTTGTGGAAGGAAACGAATTCATGCTTTGCGCCCGAGGGGTCGAGGGACTTGCCGACCTTACGAGCGAACTTGATGGCCGCCTCGTTCGCCTCTGTTCCCGAGTTGGAAATGAACACCTGGGATGCATCGCGCATGGCGCCAGACTCCCGTGTCTTTGTGATCAACAGCTTGCTGAGAGCGCCGGTCCATGCATTGTGGTAAAGGTTCGAGGCGTGGATGAGGGTCTCGGCCTAAGGCAAATTAGTCTTAAATCAACAACTGACCCTATGTTGTATCGCGCCGTAGCATATACGCACCTGCTCAGCAATAATCTGTGCGATCTCGGGGTCACAGTGACCGAGAGAGTTCACGGCAATACCAGCTGTGAGATCAAGGTACCGCCTGTTCTCCATATCCCATAAGTAGCACCCTTGGCCTTTTACCATCATCGGAGCAGGGCGAACGTAGGTAGGGACCATAAAGGGTGCTCGCTCTTCCACGAAGGACATTGTTGCGGAATCGGCAGCCGGGTCGGGATTGGGCAGAGATGTCTGTCACGAGCTTTATAAGTTTTGTGTATCAGGCACCTTCAGGTCTCAGCATACCTTTGTCTGAGACTTCGCATTTGGACCTGTTGCGGAGGATGCGAATCGTCGCTGAAGTGGTGACTCAATAACAGGGACCAGCTTCCTTGCGAGCGGCAGTCGCCGCGAGGCCACACGTACGAAGGCCATTCGGATGGAAGTAAATGGAATGAAATATGAATAGATGCAAGCAATTGAGACTAGGAGAGGAGTATTTAAGGAGAAAAGAGAGATTTGCGGTGAGTCACCGAAAGGAGAGAAAAGCGAAAGGACGAAATGTACGGGTCAAACAAATCCCGCGATATCGGGATGGGAGCCCATACCGGCTTATCTGATCACAAACTGTATTGTGATTTGCTCTCCGCCACTCCGCAATTAAAATCATTTACCTAAGGTCACTGACTGTCTCTGACTCTGCAGTCTTCTTGGACAACAATTCTTCCACCCCACTCGTGGCCGTCGCAGCACTTTAAAAAGAAAAGATACTCCCACGCCAAGCATGGCTCTCTCACTTGCTGCTCGCCGGGTATTCAGTCCCGTCAAGACAATGCGCATCTCCACCCGGACCTTCTCGAGCCGTCCGGTTCTCCGCAGCTCCGACGACAATCCCGCCTTCGCATTTGGACGCGGCCCAGCTCCTCCTCGTCTACCCAAGGAAGAACAAGAGATCTTCGAAGAACTTCAAAAGAAATCTACCGGTGCCTTCAGTACCCCACGGACAACCCCTCAAATTAACCAATCACCCCACTCCGAACCCGCCAACGAAAATCCCGAGTTTAAGGCGTCAGGAAACGGGGAGGAACTTCACCCAGATTTGCGAGGCGGTCTTCAGCCTGAATTTGAGGGGGAGCAGAACCCTAAGACAGGCGAGGTCGGTGGACCGAAGAACGAGCCACTGCGTTGGGGCGCTGAGGGTGATTGGAGCTATGGAGGTCGCGTCACCGATTTCTAAGTAGCGATGCATCCTATCGATTCGTTGTCGGCGAACAATTAGTTGAATATGCAGAAGTTGTGAATTTCGGTCATTGCATCAGTCGGCGTTGGGTACTACGATATCAGATGTATATATCATTTAGGCTATGGAAGCCTCTCCTCTCATATCTCCCTGTTACTTTGTGATATCTCCAGAGCAATGTACAATATCGTCGACAAAGTAAGTAGTTAGATGTCTTCGACAGTAGTATGCAACGTACAATACTAGCTCACACGTCAAGGGGGATTTGGTGGTGTACCAAGATAGATCGCCTATTGGCTGGACGAAGTTTACCGTTAAAACCTATAGCTCTGATGCATTTTACATTATACAACGCGATTTACGTTCAAGTCATCCGAATCAGGTATTCCATGCGATAGTGGAAGCAAATATTTGGAAGCTATACTAGCCTTGTATGTTATGACGGAGACACGGTATTTGCATGAGCAGCGGAGCTTGCAGAACCCGCAATGCGCAGCATGAGTTTTATATGATGACAAAAGATGACAGCCCCCCAAACACATGTTTAATCGACGAAGATATTAGGTTCTCCATACGAAAGACTGGTCCTCACTCTTGAATCCTTGCCAGGGTTGCTTTCCCGGCTCTACTTTCGTTAGCCCGATCCAGCTCGCCGCTGATCCAACCGCCGATCTTAGCCATCTCCTCCAGATTGATTCCAGTGTGCATTCCAAGACTATGAATCGTATGAACCAAGTCTTCTGTCGAGATATTGCCAGTGGCGCCCTTGGAGTAGGGACAGCCACCGAGTCCGCCCACACTGCTGTCGAAAATCCGAATGCCATGCTCCAATCCCACGACGGTGTTAACCAAGGCCTGTCCATATGTATCATGGAAATGAAGTGCAAGATCATTGTTCGCGATTCCCGCCGCTTTGAGCGCTTGTAGGAGCTCCATCGTACGTGGGGCTGTTCCCATACCTGTGGTGTCAGCTACCGACACTTCATCAGCACCCATCTCGAGTAGGGTGGCCGTAATGTCGGCCACCTTTGACGGTGAGACATCAGGTCCTTCGTACGGACAGCCCAGAGCAACGGAAACGTAACCTCGGACACGAATGTTTTTCGTTTTGGCCAACTCTACAATGGGCCGAATGCGCTCCAACGACTCCGCGATGGTGCAATTGGTATTTGCTTTGGAGAACGCCTCCGTCGCCGCAGCAAAGAGTGAAATTTCGGTTGATGTGGATGTCTTAGTATTCTCTGCAGGGACACCCGCAGTGTCCATGATCTTGACAAGATTCTCTAGCCCCTTGATATTAGGCACCAAGTAGTTATATGCAATAGCATTCTGCGACTGCGGCGGGGATGTGAGAAGCTTTTCACATATTTCCGTCGTGCTTGCCATCTAATTTATGATAAATAACATTAGTTCACCATATTTTAAACAAGGATGCCAGCCGTTTCGCATCCAGTCAAGGTGACTGGGCATACGTCGTAGAGCCGGGGATATATACCTGAGGCACCCATTTTGCAGGAACAAACGATCCAGCTTCAATTGTTGTCACACCAGTTTTTGACAGCTTCTCAATTAACTGAAGCTTGGTTTCGAGTGGTATGGACTTTTTCTCATTCTGCAATCCATCTCGTGCCCCTACTTCAACAATGCGAACATGGTCCGAAGTTAACCGCGCCTCTGTCGCAAAGCGTCGAGTGGGTGGAGCAGCTCGAAGGGCAGTGAATAGGCCGAGTCTGGGCCGGAACTTCATCATCGTGGAGGTGGCAGATTACTAGGTTAAGAGGGAAGGAAAGTATTGTCTAGAAGACAATGACAAAAAGGAAAATGAGGAGAAAATGGAAGGGTAGAGAAAATCGTCCGATCAGAGAGCTTTTGGAGATCAACCGACGAAATGCGGAGAAGCGGCCACGGGTTAGAGTCGGCGCAACCCCCACCTGACCTCACTAAACCCGATCCATGCCAGTTTCCTTAGTCAGGCCGACTAGACCAAATTCTGCAAGGTAATTAATTTGCATCGAATTTCATCCCACTTCCAGATTGTCCCACGCACGTACACACGGAGTGCGCGACACTCACAATTGGGCAAGGACAAAATGGAGGACACAACCGCAAATGGATCGTCTGCCAACGGCACTTTGCGACAACCCAAGAAAAGATTTGTCGGACGACGCACGGCGGACGCCCAGGCGCAGAAAGAACAATCGTCAAGTCAAAATGATGTCGAGTCAACAAGCATCCAGAGAGGTTGGTGACATAACCTCTATGGTCCTAACTCCTTCGAAACATGAGCTGACAAGTCACTCAAGCTGCTCCCAGAAGGACACCTCGAACCCTGAATCAAGTCCCTCCTGAAATCCTCGAAGACCCCGAAATCCAAGCTGCAATCGACCTCCTGCCCAAGAACTACTCATTCGAAATCCCCAAGACAATTCACCGGATACGTTCATCCGGCGCAAAGAGGATAGCCTTACAGTTTCCCGAAGGTCTACTAATCTTCGCCACCACCATATCCGACATCATCACCCAGTTCTGCCCAGGCACAGAGACCCTCATCATGGGAGACGTCACATACGGCGCCTGCTGTATCGACGACTATACCGCGCGCGCCCTAGGCTGCGACCTCCTCGTCCACTACGCCCACAGCTGTCTCATCCCAGTAGACGTCACACAGATCAAAACCCTCTACATCTTCGTCGACATCAGCATCGACACCTCACACCTGATCGCAACCCTAGAGCGCAACTTCCAACCAGGCAAGACCATCGCAACCGTCGGAACCATCCAATTCAACGCCACCCTCCACGGTCTGAAACCCGTCCTCGAGCGCGCAGGCTACAAAGTCGTCATCCCACAAATCACGCCCTTATCTAAAGGCGAAATCCTCGGCTGTACATCCCCCCAGCTCTCCGACGAAATCGACATCCTTCTCTACCTCGGCGACGGCCGCTTCCACCTCGAATCCGCCATGATCCACAACCCCTCCATTCCCGCTTACCGCTACGACCCTTACTCGCGCATCCTCTCCCGTGAAACCTACGTGCACGATGAAATGCACACTCTCCGCCGCGACGCAATCAACACCGCCAAGTCTGCCAAAAAATGGGGTCTCATTCTCGGATCCCTCGGTCGACAGGGTAACCCCAATACCATGGCTATGATCGAGAACCACCTTAACGAGCGCGGAATCCCGTTCGTCAATCTGCTTCTCAGCGAGATCTTCCCGGGAAAGTTGGCGTCCATGTCAGATGTTGAATGCTGGGTGCAGATTGCTTGTCCGAGGTTGAGTATTGACTGGGGTTATGCGTTCCCGCGGCCACTGTTGACGCCGTATGAGGCGCTGATTGCTTTGGGAGTGAGGGAGAGCTGGGACACTGCCAATAAGGGCGTCTATCCGATGGACTTCTATGCCAAGGAAGGCCTTGGAAGGACGAAGCCTAGCCAGGCGATACCCGGCGCTGCCTAAAAGGCAAGAAAGAAAAAGAAAATAAATTGAAATAAGTTGAAATAAGTTGTGGGTCACGATATAAGATCCCACGCTCAGAAATTATGATTTTGCATGACATGTCCATATGAATAACGCAAAAAGTCGTCATATATAGAAGCTTGTTCACTCGGTTAAAATATCTTACGTCCCCAGATAGATAAGGCAGAAAGTAGGTTTCTTCCTAATGGTTACTAGTATTACATACAATATCCTGAATCGTTACATCGACCGTTTCATCATCCCTTAACTTCGTCGGCGCTATCCGTGTTAAGGTCACTTGCGCTTCCCCTGCGAAGCGACAGAATGCTCTTGCTCGCCAGTTCATCGGCAGTTCGTTCGGCAGCGCGCCATCGCGTGACCGCCTGCTCAACATCTTCGAACATCTCTATCGTGTCGTTGATGATACCTCCTTCATCCAACTCGGGAACCTGGGTGCTCTCTCTCGACCCGCTGTCGCTGGTCATCGGAAAGGCGGGCCCGAATCCGCGCTGAGGGAGGGGGTTGAACATGACGGCATTGGTAAACATCCGGATTAATTCCTTCTCCAGTTGCGCCGAGTTGACTATTCCTTTGGGAGGAATAACGTCCTCGGTTTTCTGCAGCATAAGAACCGCATTCTTCGATGGTGTTCCGGCATTCGGGGCCGGAGATTCACCGTCCGCGACGGGGGTATTTGCGGCTTCTGTAGCAGCAGCTACAGCCTTGCTACCTTGATGAATGGATGATTTGATGGACTTCAGATCCTGTGGCCGGTAGATGAGATCTCGATACCCCGGGGCATCGCGTTCGGTCAATGGCTTGGTAAAGATCGATGCGTGTTTATGAGTAGTCACATCATTCATGATCGGAGCACCCGTCCTAGGGAAGTTACGAGCACAAAGAACATAAGATGTCGTTTGGTTCGGGTCAATACGGCTGATGTGGTTAATCTCAGAGGGTAGGGTTTCTGCTTCCAACGCTTCACTGGCACCGCGCTTACGTTTCGGTCTGCCTCTACCTGGGCGGTCCTCTGAAGCAGCAGTACCTTTGCGGCCACTAGAAGGACGAGGTTCGGGTTCGGCAGCCTCCGAGATACCAGCTGGCGTGCTGGGCATCTCATGCTTGATCTTTCCTGGGTATACAGATTCAGACTCCTCGTCCCGGGACAATACAGAACGCCCCCGACTTCTAGATGAAGCTGCACTCCTATCGCGGCGCTTGCCGGGTTGCTTCTCTGGCTTCGGCTTCAGCCCTCCCTTGCCGTCTACATCAGGCCCTGCCACTTCTGAATCCCTGCCTCGCCCGGCGCCCTTCCTTTCATTTCGCCCGCGCTTCCGAGGTGGAGCGACAGGTTCCTCCGGCGTCGCTTCGCGAGAACCCATCAATGAAGGCGCCTTCTCGCTAATGGGACTTACATCCTCCCGTCGCGGCCGTTCTGGCGAACGAGGAGATTTTGGTATGCTCAGTCGAGGAGTCTTCTTCCAAGGTGTAAGAGAGCCAGGAGTGGCGATGGTCAGACGGGGGCGCGCATTTCTGGACTCTGAGTACAATAGCGCCTGTGCGGCTCCAGCTGGCGTCTCATAGCCAGTACCAATACCGCTAAGCGCTGGCGACTGCACAGCGGTAGAGATGGGCCGGGGAGTTGATGGGATGGTGGGTTGAGGTGTCTGGTAGGCGGCCTTTGTCTCTGCCTTCGGTAATGGTTGAGGCGGTTGCGATTGGAAAGGCTTTCCAGTAGTGGTCTGACCAGAGGGCTCTGGAGTCGGGTGCGAAGGAGCGGGTCGTGGTGTCTGAGGAGGTGGGTTCAACGACCACTGCTGGAAACTCGGTTGAGGTGGAGGGCGAGCAGCCGTAGCAGCTAGAGTCATTGGTGGGCCTTCCTTGCCAGCTGGTCTGCCGGTGGAGACTGGTTTCTGAAGGGCGGGAGAAATTGCTGGGGCATTTGCATTGTGCGGGGCTTGCGAGGGAGTTGCTGGAGGGGCGGGTACAGAGCCAATGCCCGGTGCTGGGGTAGCAGACGGTGGTATAGGTTTCTGTACTGCAGGAACATTCGTTGGCGTTTGACTGACCGGAGTATCTCGGGGTGCCAGGGGAGGTTGTTTGGGTGTTGCAGGTGGCTTTCCGCTGAGGGCCTGTGGTTGAGGTGGTTTGGGCGTTGTTTGTGGAATGGGCTGAGGACCAGCGGGCTGTTGCTGCGGTGGTCGCGGCGGCGGCGGAGGTAATTGTGACTGGACTTCTGTGGACACCGGCCTTTTCTGCGGTTGTCCAACCGGTTGTGTAGGAACGCGTTGCTCCTCTACTGGTGTTGGATGCGGCGCTGACACCGGGGGTTGTTTCGGGATATCTACCTCTTTGCCTTGCGGTTCCATCCGGGGTTGCTTGGTATCGATTCCGGGCGCTAGTTCTACAGAAGGCTTGTTCGCATCCTTGGGTTGTATTTGAGCGGGCATCTCCTCCTTGGTATCCACGTCCATCGGCTCTGGTTCAGGCTCGAGTTTCGGTTCGGGCGCTTGCAGCGTAGGTTTCTGGATAACTGGCGCTGGCACGGGCTCCGTGGGTGTTTCGCGCTCTTCCTTCTGTAGTCGCTCGATCTCATCCTTGATCTCTTTATATCTCACCTCCTCATTCCTAAGTTCCCGGGTCACTAACTCTTTGTATCGGGCATACAGATGCGAAACCAGATCCGGTATGATCGCAGCATGGCTCATTCCCTTATCGGCTAACCCATCCGGCCGCGGACTCGTAATCTTCCGTTTCTTGGGGTTAGCACCGTTGCTTTCCACATGATGGCCGTTGGGTTCGAGGGAGGAGATGATGTCGGCGGAGTTTCCACCATCCCGCATCAGGGTTGTATACAATTCCTCGAGAGCCTCCGGGGCAAGTCGCCCCGCATCGAACGCACCATTCTGGCGGATAAATGGGTTGTTGCGCAGTACATCGGAGATGGAAACGAAACTGGTGGGGCGGCTATCGAGGGCGGCGAGGGACTGAAAGAAGAGGAGCGACTCAAACGGAGTGTAGGCCGACAGAGGAGGCATCCCCCATTGCCCGTTTGATCGGCCACTGGGGGGAGAGGGTCTGGGGATGGGGGCCACGGTGATAAAGGTTGCACGATGGTTGGCCCGTCAGAGAGTTCAAATTGGGACAACCAATGGGTCAAGAACAACACAGCAGTGGTCCAGGTCCAAGAGTCCAGGTCCAGACCTCAGAAACGGGCAGAAAGCAGGTGATCGGAGGATTACGTGGAACCAGTCAGACCATCTGCGCAGAAAAATGGACGACGGCCGAAAACGGGAACAGGGAACAGAAAAATTAAATCCAGGAGCAAGACGCGACCGTGTCTCGTCCAAGGGGTTTCGAGGGCTTCAAAAAATTCTCAGAAAAATCGTAGAAATTTGAGACAGTAAAATTAAGGGTGCGGGTGGGATGAAAAGGATGACGATCCGGATGGGGGAGGGAAGATGACAAGTAGACGATATGAAGGGGAACTGAAGATGGGAAGGGTTAACTAGTGAGTGTTTGTCTGGATGAGCGCAATCGTTCAATTTTTGGTGGTCGTCCGCCTGCCCCGACGGAAAGAGAATCCAAGAGGCCAACTTTTCCCGGCCTCCCCAGCGATCACGTGCGTATAGGAGATCGCCCGCCAAGGTGATGTTATGGTACTGTATGGGGCATCGGTGCCCAGTGGTATGGATCCGTATTACCTGCTAGTCATGCATAATGACGACAGCCATTTCTGGTTGCTGGGCGGCCATGACGACGGTGGTATTACATACTAGTACCGATACTCCTGGATTGGAAGCTTCCTCCAACAGCAGGTCCTGTACATTCCAAAGTCAATACGAGAGGTAAAATATGACTCCCCAAATTAAATCCCTCGCGGAGAATTCTAGACACAGAATTAACATCGGAAATTGCTCAGGAACCGTTAACTGCCAAGGTATAAAAGAGAATGATATGTATGTACTAACTATGACCTACTCCTGGTACTTTCAAGTTGTCTACTAGTAGGACTCTGTACTATGAGTATAAAGAGTATACGTACCACACAGTACATCAATACAATACAGGACTACCAACCTCGAACCCCACGCTGTCAGGGGTAAGGCCAAATATAAAGAAGAAAAAAAAATCAACATTAACCCCTTTCTCGCTCTTTCTTACTGGTGGACACTTACGATTCTTCAGCCTCCATGGATTCAGGAGGTCTTCCCCCCATTAAGCAGCGTCATAGCTACAGACTCGTACTACATCCATACAGGAGCATATCTGCATATTGACATGAGCACTAGAACGTGCCTTGGCATTTGAGTGATGTGGTCGAGTCTACTACCTAGGTATCTGCGTCATTGACTTTTTAGTCCCTTTGGCTCCTTGCTCGGTGTCAGACTTTAATTGCAAAACGTTCCCTAGTCGGGCAACTCTTTGATTGTGATGGAGGGCAGGATTGATTGGATCTTACATCCTGGTATTATTACTGGATTTTATTTAGATTTTCATGAATTGTCAATTATGATGGAGTCTGGTGGAGAGGCCTGTGACTATTGACCCGGCTAACTGGCCTTACCTAAACTACCTCATTTTATTAGTTGAGTCGCTAGTATCACCCTCTCCAACCCTTTTTCTCTTCGTGTTTTGTGTCTCTTCTGTTCTCGGAGATCACTTCCTTTAGGTACTACAGTGACAAAAACAACGGGGGAGCTCGTATAGACGGCTGACTCGTCATCGTGGTGCCCGGGGATATACTCTTTGATCCCAACCCTTCGAACCAAGAACTACTTATACCTCTCTGTAGACCGACTGATCTTCCCTCCCCCGAGCGTGCATTGCCCCTATCACCCCCGTCCGGGCTTTGATAACTACCCACTAAAAGTGGTCCCTCCTTGGCCCTTACCCATTCATTAGTGTGACAAGTTTCGATCTTCGGCCTCCTCAGTCCTGCGATCGATCAAAAACCCCCCCTACATTTTCCCATAGATTGCTCTCAGCTGGTTCTGATC